GTCCAACGTTTCACTTTTTACAACAAAAGGTCCTGCGAATTTATAAGTTGGTAGCAGGGGCGGCGTAAAGAAATCGCGAGGCCCAGGGCGAAATATAAGCGAACCCTTGTTGAGAAAATTACTTTTAATTGAAACAATCACGCCAATGCAAATTACCTCCTGCGAATAGATGTCAATATCATAACTTAACGTAACCTAAACTAACCTGACCCAACTTAACGAAAATGAAGCTAATTTCCCATTTAAAACAGATTTCCGGAGCACCGAAATTCATAACAAAAGACTGAATGACAAGTGTTTAGAAATTTTGTTGAAAGGTCATGACACATTCTATCAAGATATAAATGTGTAACACCATTGTTGCTAGTTGTTACGAAATTAATCTCTCTTAACCTGAATATAAAAACTGTTTCTGCACATATTGTCGGTATAGGAAAACTATGTGGAGTCAACGGCTAATCATTAATATCACATTAGTTAGTGTTCTATAATTCTGTGCTGACTATTTTTTGTTCTGATAATGATAATGAGCAAAGGAAGTTTATCATATTTACCGCAAATTACTTTTTCTAAATTGTCTTTGAGTGAAGAAATTAATGTAAAAAAATCATGGCCGACCTCTTCCGGAATTACAAATAGTTAACACATCGTCGAGCACGTATGGGTTGTCTCCTGATGTAAATTTACTTTTCACACACACACACACACACACACACACACACACACACACACACACACACACACACATATATATATATATATATATATTGTTATGTGTTGAAAAACTATTCTGATTTCTCCCCCTTGTGCAGCGCTATCACTGCTCAGACTCACGAGCCGCCACTGTTAAAATTCAACATAAATGACTAAGTAAATTATCCTGTGAACTTTGTTCGTTGCTCAATTGTTTAAGCAACTCATTAAACAACTCAGTTATGTAACATTTACGAAAGATGGGTTCCATTTATTGCAATTATTGGCGTGAAGATGGCGTAACGTTACGTTTTCTGTTATGGATAATTCAGCTATCATAAACGCTTGTGATTTGAAACATCCGTACAGGAGTGCCTTCTACAGGAATTCACAGAGAGCCTTGCCATAAATATCATCATCTATGGTGCTTCGCCCCGTTTTCGGGCCATGAACTCCCCTGTCACATATACACATTTGCCATTTTGCCTGATAAGATATTTGCAAGGCGGTGTCAATTAATTTGACATGTTACAACAGGTTGCCTAACTGTATGTTATCGTAACGTAAGAAAAATTACCTTGTAGAGTGACAACAATTGCTCGCATCAGACAACAGATTTAAACACAGATATAAAGCGTTTCATGAGCTTTGGTATGGAAGGGCCACAGTACTTGATAAATTTTACGGTATGTTTCTTTTTCTTTTAAAACTCGTAATTGCCGTGAAGGTCTTGCACTTTGTAACGCCGACACGGCAGCCTCATACATGTGAATTTTTTTTAAGTGATCGGCCATTTCGTCCACCCTTCCACGTCCCAAGATTCAGTTTTCGTTTATTGGGAAGTCGAAGATTCAGCATGGCTAGTACCAAAGGCCATCTCATCCGAACCAGTTCTAGCCACTTTCCACTCCTAATCAATATCCCGAAAATAAATCTTAATGTTGTCGTCCATCTTCTTATCGATTGCTTGAAAAGTGACAACAAAAGTTTTTATTTTTCATTTCATTTTTATTTCTCCATCAGAACTGCATGTGTTGCTATAAAAATTACAAACCTGGCGTAGGCTCGAAACTTTGAAATTCGCATCTGACATGTCATATACTACACTTTTCAATTTTATAGTGCAGTGGCTAGTATAATATTAACTTCTAAACCGGCCTGTCAGGTAGTATGGTTATTTCAATTGTGTTGTCAGCTGAGAGCGATTGAGTGATAAGAGCCGGCAAGGTTATTTGTTATCCCATGGTATTGTAAACTAGTTCATCGAACATGTATAGATTTTATAATAATGGATTGCAAATAAAATCCTGTCATTGCACCAAAACAATCCAGTTACACGTGCTGATGATGTTTGGTATATATTGCGCTTTGTACGTACAATCCGAGAAAAACCTTCTTTCTGTTTGGAAGACGGTTTGCTAAATATGTTTTGTTTCAGCCGTGCAATTCTTGTAGGATCTGCTCTGCTGAATTTAGTGTCCAAGGCTAGTCCAAGCTTTTCTCCAAAACGTTGGCAGCTACATCAGTTGTTATGATTAGTATTGAAAGTTAAGTTAGTTTTACCATCTAGTCTCCTGCATCTAGTAAAATGTACTCTTAGTTGGTTGCTTGGAGGGATGTTCAGGTATACCCATACTCCGCTCTACGCCTACGCACACTTGGTGTCATCTCCTAATTTAAGACACATACGCATATTGCTTACTGCAGAATGCGCTTCAAACGTGATGACTGAATTACCCTCAATCGGTACAAAATTTCCCCGACGTTTGCACGTCGTTGGAATAAAACATATTGAATTTTGTAGAAATTAGCTGGCAATGATCGGTATATTGCTTCTATATATCCTTCTCCCTTTTTCCTGCTTTGTGATGTAATTTTGTACAGCAATGTGCTGGGTTGTTCATCCAGTTATCATTAGCAAATTTAGATTAGGTTATACATTGACCTAATAACATTTCCCTCATCGTAGATAATTAAATACAGTTTTTGGACTCTATTATTAGAAACAGTTTAATTACAAACAATGAGAAAATGTTTGTTTTCATGTTAAATATTTAATTACATCTGAGTTCTTAACTTATCATTTAACACAGTTTCTACATGCAGGGAGAGAAATACCTGTTTCGTTGGTAGACTGGATTTTCAACATTGCGAATTCAGTTGGTAACAGGAATGGTTGGGTTGGTAATAATCGTGGTACAAAGCAAGAAAGCGGGTTGCTAGTTGGTGGTAAACCGAAGCTCGTAGAAGTTAAATATTTGTTTAGAAACCGGCATGGCATAATTATGTTTACATAAAAGTTGAATCAAATATTTCATTATATGTGAAAGCCTGTATGTGTCTTAACTAGTGGTATATTGTATATCCCACACTATAGGAAATACCTAGTAGTAGGGTAAGGTTTTGAAGTATGAAGTGTATAATAACCTATTAATGAGTGGTTACATAGGGCAGAATCAGACGTAACTGAAACATGTCTTAAGATTTGATAAAAGTACAAGTCTTTGAAACGATGTACAGAAAATAAATTAATAAACAGTGATAAATGGACTGACTATGATCTCAATTAATAGTGATAAATATCATATTACCAGTTGTCAGTAATGACGATTGCAGGAAACAAACTAGGCTAATAAATTATCTTACTACAAATTAATGTACAGTTCATCTAAGAAATGAAAACTGTGAATCAGTATCAACAGTCATGATGTTGATTTAAAGTTTGCTACGTTTCCAAATATCTGCCCAAGAATTTTTGAAGAAAGCTTTCCTACTAACAAACTGAAAAGGATTTAAAAATAATGGATAATTAAAGGTATCGAAATAACCTTCAAACGTACCCTTTACATAAATGACCAAACAAATAACAACCAAGGAGAGAAGATTTACTGTAAGGAATACTGCAAGGTGTTGGTGTTCATATTATTTACATGTTCCATATCATTTGCTTGGATTGTCCAGCACATATGCTGAACAGAAAAGAATAGAACAATTTGTTTACATTCCATACATACCTCAGTATACTCAAATGGAAGTACCACTAATTATCACGTGTCACTCATTTTCATGAGATTACCAATAATTATTGTGTTTAAAGTAGAATGCTTCTATTCTTGATTTAGGTGACAAAGTGATGTTCCACACTGTAATTGCTTACACTGAAGTCACTGAAGATGAATGCAAGGTATTCTCTTCCAATTTTAATTGGCTTGACTGTAACAGGGATATCAGCTGCTTACCTGCTGTACTTACTTTTCAGAAAGGTAAGAGTAGTAGTCCGTAAGTACTTAAAGCCTGGTTGAATAGTGACAGTTTAATAATAATGAAGCCAAATATTTTTCTCATTACATGTTTTTATGCCACTGATCAGAGTTCAATGCTTAATCTTTTGAAGCCAAAGCTTGTCTGACAAATATTTAATAATTTAGTCCTTACTGCAAAGAAAACATAATGCCTCTTCCTTAGAAAGATCATTTGGTTAAAGAAATAATTGATGTTTACTCTGAGAAACATGGGCAAAGTGCATAGTTATTGATTATTAAAGCAGGTTGCCACTGGACTTTAAAGGGTTTAAATATTCTTTTTGTTAAAGTTAAGAAGAGTAAATAAACTTAAGGAAAGAGGAAAATAATAACATCGAGGAACAAATGCTGCCTCCCTTCTCCCCCTAGAAAAAAGTGGTATGAAAGTTTAGCTCAGGCAAAAAATTATAAAGGAGAAGAATTTAAGAAATGTTTGTCAAGAAGAATTGTTGCACATGAAGTTGAATGTAAAGGGCACAGAGCCAAATAGAAGAGTAGTATCTATTAACAGAAGAGAGATGAGATGTATAATCATTTTGTGCTGAAATTCAAAATGATGTAATGAAGCTAAAACCAAAAATCATACATAAATTACTAGAGTATATATATATGCTAATGCACATTACTTTTGGTGACAGTTGAAGAGGATACATTTGAGTGATGTAGATAATATTTCTGCCCTCAGGATGAAGAAGATTTGGATGTGCATTTTCAGAGGGTCAAAACTTCACGACCTGCACGTATTGTAGTGAAGATTCCAAAGGAATGTGTTGGTGTTGTAATCGGCCGAGGTGGAAGCAGTATTAAGGACATTCAAGAGAAAACTGACACAAAAATAATTTTTAAAGTTGAATGTAAGCTTTAATGTAGGCCCATATGGCAGAATAATACTTAAATGGATCTTAAAGGAATAGGGTGTGGTAGGCTCTTTCAGATTCCTTTAAAAGGTGGAGACTAACTGAGAGACTATATTATCTTTTCAAGAAGGGATATGATCTTTGGATTTAGTTATGTGAGCATATTTGGATTGAATATGTATTGAAGGAGGTGAAATATGTTCTGATTTTTGCATTATGCTGGGAAATATGAATAGAATACAGATTACTGAATCAGACTAATGTCATCAGTATCATTACTCATTATGATACTGATCGGTCTTTACCTTACATAGTTTTAAGCTTCACAGACATTTTGTAATGCTCCTAGGTGTCACATTTCTCAATTCTTATCAACTCACAGGCCGTAGGGTTATAAATGAGAACAGTTTTATTGAAACTTCATAATAATTGATTAGAATGGTACTAACTTTGAGGTTCACACATTTTTCTTCTTCTGTGGCTCTCTGGTCCGTATTCGGTCCATGGCCTCCTCGATTCTCCTTTTCCATTCGGAGTCCGTCTGTCCGAGGCTTTGATTGAGGTTTCGAAACATCTTCCTTTTTACGGTGCAGGGTTGTTAGCCTTGCTACCAACTTCCAACCTGGAGGACCTGTCTTAGTCCAACCTCTCCCCCTCGACCAATCTGGCTAGGGAGGCCCTACCAGTAGCTATGCTACCGCCACTGAGGTACTCAAGCCCCACCACCACGACAAGGTGCAGGTACCATTAAGTGGGGGGTTCACACATTACTCAATAATTTTCTTCAACCAAATCAGTAACTAGTGAGAGATTTGATATAGCTTTTACTCATTTTTTGTGTGAATGGCTGACCTCAGTCCATTTTGTAACATGTTGGAGTACCTCACACTTGTTACTGTGGTTCCGCATACCTGATAATTTTCGAGAACATGACCTTGAGAGTCCCAGAACAATGTCAGCATTGACTTCCCAACTGATGGCTGAGACGTGAGTTTTTTGGCAGCAGGAGAGGGTTTGCGCTACTACTGCATACACACATGTACACACTCTGTCGAGGTAATGCATTGTTCCCATGTTATGCATATAAATTTGTGTGAACTTCAGCCACTCCGTAACCCTCTGTTCTTCTTTGTTGCAAATTGAAAATGGCATAGTCATTTTCTCTGCTTCACTGCATTCAAGGTCATTTTGGGCAGTGTATCTACACATCAATTTACAGGGATCAGTACTGCCAGTTATTATTAGACTGTCTTGTGCCTTCTGCAGACAGGAATGAAAGTGTGGATACTTTTTAAATTATCTTCATATTAACTTATTTCTGTGTTAGAAAAACATTCCATATAGAAGTTTTAGATCTTCATGACATCAAAATTTTATATTTTTGTATGATGAGTAGTTTTTAATAGAAATTATGCAGTGCAGTCTGACCTTACTTTCTGTTTTCTGTGTGAAATTTATGTTATTTTCTTTCTTAGTGGAAACTGATCAACATCGAGTCTGTGTCATTCAAGGCACTCCCGAAGGTGCACAACTTGCAGAATCCCTTATTCATGATATCATATTTAACCAGCCTTTGATTGAAACCCATGAGATGTTTGTACCACAGGTATGTAATAAAATGAATCCTAAATGCAAATTGTGTGTGTAGTCAAACACGTATAACATTTCCAACATTTTCATTCCTCCATTATTTCAGACATACTTGTAAATTTGCAAGGACATGTCTGGTCTTAAGAATGGACTGTTGTGTGAACTGAACCACCGTAAATTATCCTGTTTAGCACACGTTCCTAAGAAGAGACTGCCTTGACAGATATTTCACATATTAAATACACAACAGCGCATGCTACACTTTCTATGTTTTTGAGATTGAACTAAATTACAGTTATCTTAATCATATAATAGTGTGTGTTGCATATATTATGTAATATGATGGCAAATTGGTACCTTCTTGTACACTAGAACCAGATTTCTAGATCTGTTTGTGTTCATCGTGCTTCATAGCTTCTCAGTAATGTGTCCAAAAATAAATTTACTCCAGACAAGTGCATGAGACAAAAAACTTGGTTAAGGAGAGAAATACTGCTCTTGTTTCTCTCTTTCC